GGGCGTGACGGGAGGGTTTCGGTTTTGTGGGGTGTGGACGCACTTGGGGGATTTGGGTTTGGTGCGGGTTCAAATCAAGGCAAGCCCAAACCCCCCAAGTCCGCCCACGCCCCACAACCCAGGTTTTTGTGGTGCTCATACAATGCGAAGTGGGATTAGCGAGAGATTAGGAATTGGTTGATGCACACATCTATGTAGTTGTCATTCCATTCATGTGGACAAATGCAAGTTCACACACTGCTCTTATGTACGCGCATGCAACACTCATCGTCTAAAAACAGAAACATTGCAAACGCCAAGATATAATCGAAGCAAAACGCAAAACAATGTAGCATGGATAATAACAAAATACATCTGACACGTCATGTCGAAGACCCGCCACAGTATCCAAAAAGTACCGACTAAAAAGTAGACTGAAAACATATAATCTCCGAAGTACCGAACGAAACCATGTGTGAACTGCGCAAAAAGTACCGACGAAAAAGTAGACTATAATACAACATCACGAAACACTACATTTGTCATGGAGAACAAAAAAGTAAACTACACCGAGAAAGGCAAGAAAACGCAAGTCCGTAGACCGTCAACGATCATCGTTTGCACGTGAATCCAGCCTTGACCGATGAGAACCTCGTCCGCGTGACTAACCACTGCCACATGGTCGACCTCTCTGGCGCTGCCCGCCACGTCCGGCGGTGAAAGGCTAGGGAGGGTCATCGGGGTCGTCGTCCATAATAACTCTCCTGCATCTCCCTGTCCCGGTACCTGTGGCTGCTAGATCGACATGTCGACGATAATCGCGACGCTTAGGTCGACCGTCTGCCCCTGAAGTCTCCCCCTCCTGGCGTCGATCTAAGGGTACGTGTCGGGCGTGCCTGCCTCGTGTAACAACCTCTGGCTCCTCTAAAATAATCGATGCCTCTCTCAAACCGTATGTCAACGGCGGATGTACTACGCCCTCCACGGCACCGTCTGCGCCCTCACGTCTGCCAGGCATGCCACCAGTATCTCCGCCTCTACGGCCGAACCCTGACGACACAATATCACGACGACTCCCGCTCGTTGAAACCCCTCTCAAACCTGGCTGACGGCCGGCACTCGCCGTCATCACCCGTCTCGTCTCACTCCATGGCTGATCCGTGCAACCGAACAACATGGTGTCCTGCGACTCCCTCCCATGGTCGGTAGTGTCTCTCTGTCTATGGGCAACCGACCTTGGGGTAAGACTGCAGCTCTCTTCGCAACTACGCTCGTGGGTGACAATGGGCCTGCTGCGCGGTGAGAGGGCGCTGCAACAGAACCTCCAGAAGGTAAGCCAGGGCTAGCTGGCCCCCAAAACAAGTCCTGCACGCGAGGCAGACGCCCCTCCACCGAAGGCCATGAAAATACGAGTGTCGATCTTGGTCAAATTCGTCCCCCCGTGCACCTCCAACTCCTCAACAGTCATACATTCAAATGCGAGGCTGTCGTGAGGTGTAGCCACATACCTAATCTGTGGCCTCTCCCGTGACGACGCAAAAGCAGGGACCGGAGGTGCGCACGTGCCACTGCCTACACGCCGCTCCACGATCGGGCCACCTCTATGTGCACGACGCTTACGATCCACCAAAAACGGTGCCTAATGTGGGACCACCGGCCCCACAACCGTGCGAACCACCAAAGTCTGCGGCGTCTCCTGTCATGCCTGTCTCTCACGTCCTCTCTGGGTATAACCTCGCTATCGACCTATGCACGATCTTGCCCCCCAAATGTGTGCATCAGATCAGCCTGAACTGGCGCCTCTGCCCCCCTAACACCAGCGTCCCCCTCAACGTCCTCCTCCCCCCCGGTGGTCGGTCCAATCCCCTCTGCCTGTGTCGGTGGTCTAACATCATCAACGCCCACTGACTGCCCCGTCTGTTCGTCCTCCAGACCCGGGGACATGTGCACGGCACCCTCAACCAAACCCGTGGGCAGAGGTATGCTCGAGGCCTCATGCAAAGTGTCCTCGCCCACTCCTCAGGCCTTCGCTCGTCGTGAGGAGGCTCCCCTGTCCCACGAGTGTGGACAACTGTCTCTATGTCAAGGGACGCCCGCGTAAATGTCCCCAGCTGTCTCTGTCGCTCTTGAACCGCAAGACGGGCCAACTCCTGCATCCAGGGATCCCCTCGTGCCATGAGGCAAGCTCGACGACTATCAAGCCTATCCAACCTCTCTTCAGATGTCTCTCCAGGGGGTGTGAGGTCCTCATCTCTCTCTACCTCCGGTAGTGACGACATCAACTCTCCGTGCATGGAAGGGGAGAAAGTCTCCGGGTGCAGGGCACTGATCTGTCGCAATACGGCCTGCATGCCCACATGTCCCCCCGGGACTCGCTCTCTCCCGAGGGCATACCCAAGTCACCAAACTCACTGAAATCCCCTCATCACGAACAGTCCTAAGCGCGTCCCCGTCAACCGCCGCAGCAACCTTGGCACCGCCTCCGCGTGTCACCAATGCACCACCGTCTCCACCAGTCAACCCCTCTCTATCTCTCTCGTCCCCCTGGACGGTGAAGGACCACCTGCTAATCTCTCCTCTAATCGTTGTCTCGGGCTCTTCACCAATCTACGCAGTCGACCATCGGGGGGCGAGCCTCTATGATGCTCCTCCGAAGGGGGAAGATCGGTGGATGATGCCATGCCACTAAGAACATGCACACGACACAAGCTGGCCAGGGGCACCACCACCACAACCCGACTCTACCCCCCTCGAAGGTGCAGATCCATGCACTCTCTCTCGCTTGGCAGATCACAGGCCAGGTGACGTAGGCCTCTGTCGCTCAACGGGGCTCCCATAAGGACACCATAACTCCTCCTCACCCTGCAAATCAACTCCACCGAAAAAGTCATCCCCACCACTCCGTCTACGGACGTCCTCCGGGTCGCTCCACTCATCAGCCTCCTGTGCAGCTTGACTGGAAGTAGTGGGGCCCGCCCGCTCGTCCTCCTGCTCCCGACCCTCGTAATCATTGTCGTCGTCTCTGGGGTACGGGCGCAATGTGGCACCTCGAGTCCGAAAAACATCTGCAACCTCACTCGGAGGAGCTCTCGACCCACACGGGTCTCGCTGCCACGAACGTCTCTGACACTCGAGCTCCTCCTGCGTACTGCTGTCTCTTGTCCCCTTCCACGAGCGGCGAGTCCCAATGCCTCCCTCCACGTCCAACAAGGACTCATTTAGAGTCCACGACAACGCAAACTCGAGGCCTGCCCACGGAGGAGAGAGAAGGAGGACGTTGGCTGAGATCTCAACCAACTTCGCAACCTTCTCAAACTCAAGTCGGTTATGCTTCTTCGTCTGTACACCCTCGTGGACGGTCCAATTCCTCTCTGCAGGAGAGGCGCACGTCCACATGTACATAACACGAAGAGCGATAACCTGCAATTGTGGGGCGCACTGCCCCACTTCGACCACCAACACCCGGCCTCGTATGTCTCCACATCGTCGGTGCACCTCTGTGCCTCTCTGTCTTTGTCCCTCCCCCCCCACGCAATCCCCCCCCTCCGTGTGTGAAAGTCGCGCAACTGCAGACATGCGGTCTCGTACTCGGGGCTCGCTACACTGAACCCTGTCTGCAACAAGATGTAGACCTCCGCCTCCCTCACTAAGCTCGCGTCGTAGTCGTTGACTACGCCCTCGTAGCACCTCAAGTCCCTCCGGCTAGGACAGAGAAGGTGAGCAGCGGTGTGCGCCGACTCCAACATGTGAGCGCACCGAGCGTGCACCTTCTGCACAATAAAGTGTGCAGAATCCGCCGGAAGTGCGCGAACCTCCTGTGCCACCTCGCAGGTCACATCCTGCGTTCACTGAACTCCACAGTCCAACCTGCACAGCATGTCATACACCGGCTCCATAATACGGACAAGGATGCCCATGGAATCCCACCAAGGGCCATGTCGCACCTGCCACCTAACCCACCTAGCCAACTGACGAAAGGAATGGTCCCAAGGGACCATACCCCAACTATCGCCGTCCACCGTCCTCTGCAATGCTGACCTCACTGCTAGCAAATGCTCCATCATCGCGAACACGGATGTGAAACGTGTCTCGCACGGATAAATAAGACCCATCTACGTGCTCTCCCACCTGAAGATATGAAGAGCGGCGCCGTGCTCCTTAATGAAGCTCACCACTGCTTTCCCCCGCACGATGATGTCCTTGGACCACGAGCTTGAACAGACAATGTCTGACAACATCTTGTTGCAGCCATACACTACGCATGGGAGCCACAAGAGTCGTTGATGCTCTGGCGTCTACTCAGGCCCCTGGATCATGTTCGCCGCAGCGATGTACACCGAGGCAGAGTCGGTGCAGATGACGTTCACCCACCTAGGAGGGAAGTCATCGAACACCTTGATCCAACGTGCCAAAACATCAGGAGCCCGGTCCCGCTCACACTCCCTGTTCATTGTTTGGACGAGCATTACCCCAAGCGACCTGCCGACAAGAAAGTTAACGATGGGTCTAGCATCGCGTGACTTCCTACCGTCCGACATGATGGTGGCCCCCGTGACATAGAAAGGAGCCCTGACCTCCGCGAGATTAGCCGCCACATCGTCCGCCATGTGGACAATTGTCTCTATGTCTGCAATCTCATTCTCCGAAGGCCACAAAACCTTCAGTGGCCCCGACAATTCCCTGAAGTGTCGGACGACGTCCAACCACGGCTCGCTCCGGAAGATGTTGAACGACAGACGTTGACTGTAGACAAACCTCAGCCACCTCTTCTTGAACTCCATCTGCCATTGTGACGAGTATGACTCTGTGATCGTATTTCGTCTCATCCTCTTATAGCTCCCAGCCGCGCCCCCTTCTCTCTCTCCTTTCTCTTCCCCGTGGATGGTCCCGCCTCATCCGCACCCACATGCACATGTGTGCGAGCCAACATGTGCGCATCCTTAAAGTATTGGCCTCGCTGCCCCCCCGGCTCGCTCACAATGCCCTTCCCTCGCTCCTTCCTTCATGGCCCCGCCCGTGCACCCTCCTCCACGACGATGTCCACGTCGATCACGTCCTTGTCATCCCTCACCTCTCCCACCCATCCCTCGTCCCAGCACAGATCCATCGCAAACGCCGGACCGTGAAGCTCCTCAAACCGACGCATCCGCTCAAGGATCTTCCCATCCAGCTTGCACTCGGTGTTGTAGTGTATGTCGACAAGCGCCTCATCGGTCACTGTCAAACATCCCTTACCCTGCCGGAAATGGCGCCCCGACACGAACTGGTTGCCCTGGAATTCGTGGCCGCAAAAAAGGCACTTCAACATGCGATTCTCACAGAACCGCTCGCTAAGTGTCTGTCCCACGCGGATGTACTTGTACACGCAACACTTCTTCTTCGCCTTGCGGTTCTCATCCTCCCCGACGTCCTTGAACACTCGTGCCTGACTCCTCACCATCGTGGACGTCCGGCGTGGTCTTTCTCATACAGTCCCGAAGAGGTCTGTCCCACATAGTCAAGAAGCCCGCCGAGGTCCCTCCCCGCACCAGGGCCTCAAGGCCCACCGCGAACTGGCCACCGACGGCCAAGCAACCCAGGGCCCAAGCCATGCGCAGCACCGAGCAAGGGCGTCAGACCAGCCTCCGCGCGGGGGGGACCCTTCACCGCGTCACGGACTGAATGCGCCCTCTCTCTCTCTCTCTCCCTCTCACGCGCTCGCGCAATCACGCGCAATCGTGCAAGATGCCACCTCCCGTAATCTCTCTCTCTCTCTCTCTCTCTCTCTCTCTCTCTCTCTCTCTCTCTCTCTCTCTCTCTCT